CAGACATCCTTAGTGCTACCACAGAGGCAGGAGAGGCTCACTGGCCAGCCTTGAGCCTGGCTTCTGGCTGAGCGACGCTCCCCCTGTGGGAGCACACTGACCACCAGGGGGCAGCTCCTGCATTGAGCGTCTGCCCCGTAATGGTCAGTGCACATCATAGTAACTGGTCGTTCAGCCATTCAGTTGATTTGCATATTAGCCTTTTATTATATAGGATGTTATTTGGATCTTACATATTAGGTGATGAAAACTGGTGATAATGTACCTATATTCAGAAGCATCTACACTAATAAAAGAGAAAAATGGTAATTGGCGTACGACCGCTACCCTTCTGATTGGCTAATCAGCGTATCCTTATGCAAATTAACTGTCAGCCAAGATGGCGGCCGGCAGCCAGGCAGTTGGAAGCGAACATGAGGCTTCCTTGCTCCAGTGACTGCTGACTCCAACGTTCCCCGCCTGACTTGCAGGCCTCTGAGCTGGCAGTTTGAAACATTCTAACAAATATAGCCGGCTGGGATCTCAGAGCTGAAGTTATACATTGTTTCGATTATAGAACGGCAAACAAACCAGCAGCGGAAGCCTCAGAGCTAGAGCCAGAGCTAAAGCTGGCCCAGAAGAAAAAAAAAAAAAGAAAAAAAGGAGCGGTTGGGAGCTTCCCGCCAGCCTGAAAGCAGTCAAAACCGCCAGCCTGAAAGCAGCCCTCAGCCCCTCACCCAGACTGGCCAGGCACCCCAGTGGGGACCCCCACCCTGAAGGGTGTGTGACCAGCTGCAAACAGCCATCATCCCCTCATCCAGGCTGGCCAGGCACCCCAGTGGGGACCCCCACCCTGATCCAGGACACCCTTCAGGGCAAACCAGCTGCCCCCCAGGCCTCTATCCTATATAGTAAAAGGGTAATATGCCTCCCAGCACCGGGATCAGCGGAGCCGCGAGGCCTCCTGGCACCAGATCAGCATGACAGGGTGCAGCGCCCAAACCCCCTGATCGCCCTGCGGCTCTGTGTGTGACAGGGTGTGGCGTCCCAACCCCCTGATCAGCCCTGCTCTGTGCGTGACGGGGGGGGGGGCAGTGCCCCAACCCCCTGATTGGCCCTGCTCTGTGCATCACAGGGGGTGGCGCCGCAACCTCCCCATTGACCCTGCCTTGAGTGTGACAGGGGGCGGTGCCCCAACCCCCCAATCAGCCCTACCCTGAGCGTGACTGATGGTGGCATCACAACCTCCCAATCCGCCCTGCTCTGTGCATGACAGGGGGCAGCGCCCCAACTCCCCAATCAGCCCTGCTCTGAGCCCGACCAGGGGCTGCACTAGGGATTGGGCGTAATGGTCAGTGCACATCATAGTAACTGGTCGTTCAGCCATTCAGTTGATTTGCATATTAGCCTTTTATTATATAGGATGTTATTTGGATCTTACATATTAGGTGATGAAAACTGGTGATAATGTACCTATATTCAGAAGCATCCTATATAATAAAAGCCTAATATGCTAAGTGTCCGGTTGCCTGGTCGGCCGTTCAACCAATCAAAGTGTAATATGCTAATGATATGCTAAGGCCGCTCAACTGCTTGCTATGACATGTACCGACCACCAGGGGGCAGTCGACCGGTTGACCAGTTGCTATGACCTGCACTGACCACCAGGGGGAAGATGCTCCGACTGGTTGGTTAGCTTGCTGCTGGCTTCTGGCTTCTCATATCAGGACTGAGCCAGATGGGCCAGACATGCTCTGGAGCCCTCCTGTGGTCCCTCCCCAGCTGGCCAAACTCCCACATCCCTCCCTGGCCCTGATCGTGCACAGATGGGGTCCCTCAGCCTGACCTGCTCCCTCTCACAATTTAGGACCCCTTGGGGGATGTCGGAAAGCCAGTTTCAGTTTCAGCCTGATCCCGCAGGCCAGGACAAGGGACCCCACTGGTGGAAGAATTCGTGCACCAGGCCTCTAGACTTCTGTAATTTTTAAAATCTTTGGTTTTGCCATTTCATTTGCTACAAAATCTGGAGGTTGTCAGGGAGGGTAAATACATTTGTATTTATAACTACATTGAAAAGGGCAAGTTATTACTTAGTCTTTGTTTGAATTCCCTAAATTAATCCTCTGACTTGTTAGTGTGATTCTTTCATTCTACTTTTAGTGGCTCTCTTGTTAAAAATGTATGCAGTTAAAAAAACAAAACAAAACTCTAAAACTTTTGTTTTTATAGTACTTCAGTCTTCAAAGCTGGGTGTTTTCATAACATAATATTTGATCCTCACAGCACCCTGTGAGGTTAACAGGACCGCCCCCCCCCCACCTTTTACATATGGAAAAACTGAGCTCCCAGAGGTTGCATGACACATCCAGTGTGAACAGTATTACTGCCACACTGACTGAAATCCAGAATGCTGAACCACATGACCTTCTGATCAAAATCCAGTCTAAAACAATTGTCCACTTTCATCTGATATTAGAAACAACTTATGCCCTACTCTTCACCACATAAAACATGCTAGAATATATTTAGGATTAATAAACAAAGAATATTTTATACAATTAGAGTGTGAAAAAATTACCTTAATTATGTTTCAATCCATGCTTATTTCAATAATTACTTCTCTTAGCCAGGTTGACATTTTGGTTTTCTAGCAATTATTTTAGCTGATAAAAACTGAGTGTAATGAGAATATATGCTTATGATATTCCTGATGGTAGGATTGTATAATTAATTATATGTGTTTATATGTTTGCATGTATACATATGTATTTTCTCTACCGAGATAGAGAAGAAATTTGTTCTAGGTACATAAGCCTGTGTATTGTACTGTCGAGTTGGATGCCTATTTTTAAAATTATTTGAAAACAAAGCTTTAAAATATAATTAGTTGAGGGAATCACTCCTGAGATTTACATAAAGCAGCAGAATGAAGAACTCAGCTTAGCTTGGAATGAAGAATGCACCTATCACACCCACCAATAGATGACTTAGGAACTGGGCTTGAAGTGGCTCAAGAGGACATGCCCTGACTTTCACAGTCATGACACCACATCCCTCCAGTTGCCTATGCTGTGTCCCTGCTGAGGCTAAGCCATTTGTTCTCTCGCAATCTTTTCCACTCCCACTCTGTATCACTTCCTCTCTTTTCCTGTCATTCCAACCACTCGTTTTAGAAATATGATCTTATATTATGCTTCATAATTTTTCCTACTAAGAACTTTCAGAAGAGGCAGGTGGATCTTTTTCAGCCTATGGAAATGAAAGATTTGTTGAATTAATGTTTAGCAAGAAAGTTTGTAATAATAAAATGTTCATATTTTTCACACTCATCAGTGATCTCCACTAGTGGTCTGTGGCACAATGTCCATGGAAATAGTCCTACAGTGGGGCCTTGACTTACGACTTAAATTCGTTCCGTGACGGAGCTCATAACTCAAATTACTCGTATGTCAAATCAAAAGTGAACGAGTGAGACACGTGATGCTGGGCTGATGTTGTGGCGTTCACTGTGACGTTCGCTGCGCCAACTAACGGTGGAGTATCTGAAGCTGGCTCGTAACCCGAATTTTAGCTCGCAACTCAAAGCAAAAAATTGGCCGAGAGACGGCTCGTATCTCGAAAAACTCGTTAGTCGGGACACTCGTAAGTCAAGGCCCCACTGTATTCCCATCCCATGTTCTTCTTACACTGACACTCAAAATGGAAGCCATGCACAGCACCTGAGCACTGAATGGCAAACTGATAGTGAGCTGCTGCCCTACCTGCTCCCCTGCTCCTAGAATCTCTAGAGGTCAGGGGGCCCTTTACCTACGTGTTTGTAACCTCCCATCCCAAGTTCACTTCCTCCCAGAGTTCCTCTGTGCACGGGAGTAAGGACTTTCAAATGTACAGGCAGAGGCTCCTTCCATGAGAATGAGGGCCCACCACAGAGACACAAAGGAATTTGTGAATTTTACACCTCCCTTTTGTGGTATAATTTGAGACTAGCTCTGGTAGAACAAAATCTAGAGCAGTGGTTCTCAACCTTCTGGCCCTTTAAATACAGTTCCTCATGTTGTGACCCAACCATAAAATTATTTTTGTTGCTACTTCATAACTGTAATGTTGCTACTGTTATGAATCATAATGTAAATATCTGATATGCAGGATGGTCTTAGGCGACCCCTGTGAAAGGGTCGTTTGACCGCCAAAGGGGTCGAGACCCACAGGTTGAGAACCGCTGATCTAGAGGAAGCTTTATTTTTTTGTTTGTTCGAGTTTCTCTTTTTCATAGTTGATTAAAAACACAACACAAACAAAGCAAAAGAAAAGTAGCCATTCTGTAAATGTTTTATGAAAGGAGAAATAACTATGTCACTAATTGGAATGAAATCAAAGTATCCAGAATAATTTTTAAGAATTCCATTTTTGTTACAACCATTGCTAGAAAAGGACTGTTAGGCAATTCCGAACACCTTCATGAATAATTAATTTTCCTGATATATAATTTAAGTCAAATAAGCACTCAATTTTTAATCTATTTCAAGAATAGATTTTATGGAGTCCATTCCCAAGGGCTGGGATGATGTGTTTATGGTCTTTGGATCATGTCCTCCAAACCTGTGCAAAGAACAGGAATTCCTGACTCATTCTTTGGGTCTGAGAGGGATAGCATCACCTGTTAAGAGTTTCCTGGTCACAGTTGAAGTCATTTAGATAATTCTGCAAGTGGTTCTAGAAATATTGTGAAATGATAAAGGGAAAAAATATAGGTGTAACTTTTAATAAGCTGGGAACACCTGAATGTGGTAGTCTTTTAAAATTCAACAATTTCATAGAGCACATCCCAGCATGTTGAATGATATTTTAACTTCTAATACTAAATTGTCTTTGGGGATTTAAGATTATAGCTATTTGATGAAATTATTATATTTTCTTCTTCCTTTGTAGGTAACCCACTAACTAAGAATAAATCAAACGACCCTCAAGGCTGATTACATTGAACATATGCACAGAACTTAATTTCTCTGGTGGTCTTGCAGGAAGATTTTTATACTGCTCCGAAGAGGCACTCCAGACTCTTGTTTCCAAGGGATTTTATGGCTCGTAATCAGCATCTTCTTGAAATCAAGACTTTAAAAAAGTCAGACATGAACTTCTGTGTCATGAAGAGTTCATCAGATTTGAACTGTGTTCAACTTGTAAAATTGCACTTCCTAAAAGAATTTGAAGTCGTCATCTGAAGAGTTGGCGTTTCCGGGCGATGTCAGAGACACTCGCATTTTGGGCTCCTGGCTCCAAATGTGACTGCTTTTCTTGTTCCTGAAAGTCTCCCAAATGCACTGGCCTTCTGTCATGGATGTGTTCCTGGGTCTGGTCCTGTGTTCAGTGGCTAGTGGGACTGTATATGGCTTTAGTGACATTTCCTTTGCAAACTTCTCTGGCATGGTGTGGACTGAGATCATTTTATTTGTATCCTAATCTTGGAGCTCTGAAAGCCTACATGTTTTAACATCTTAAAGTTGCTTTTGTTAAAGGAATGGAAAAATATATCCATTGATAATAATTATTGTTGGCAAGTAATACTTATCTGAATACATCAATCACCTAAGAATGTATAGACTAGCTGACATGTTTCCCCAAGGCTAACACACTATTGCAGCTCTCTGTCAGTTAAATAGGTAGTAGTTAGAACTGAATTACCATTTTCATTGTATACTATTTTATACCTCTAGGGCACTCTTCCTTTCTTTCTTTTTTTTTAAGTGGGCTGTTTTCTTTCCTTTTCATGTTTACTTTTTTCCTTCACAGAAATCAGCAGTGAGCAGTCAAGTATTGAGTTAGGTAGCCTTCAGTTTCAAAAATTGCCAGGGATGCATGTGGGTTTCTGATTTCTTAGCTTGAAAATTATTCATTTACATTTATTACATTTTAACACTGTTCTTTCGATCTCATTTTAGAAGACTGTCTCTTGCTCGATCCCAATGACTGTTTGAATGCTGTTTGTCCAGTCTGTAGATAAAATAGATCGTCATTTTCTTTGGTCTCAAATTTATAAATATTTGCTTATAGTTGTCCCATTTGAACAATTTCTTAGGTTATTTTTTGCTCACATTTTTGTAGTAATTTTAACATTTGTGGTTTTCAGTTCTATAGGAAAATTATATAAATATTTAAAGGCCTTAAACATGTATGTACCTTTTTTTCCTAAGTTATTACAGAATGTATACTTTTATACTACATTTATTTTGTTTCATTTATGATGTGAAGGGAGAGAAGAATGGAAATTGCAAAGCTATTCTGTAATAATATTGTATAAACTTACAGTTTGAAGGAATGTAAATGGAGGGACTTCTGTGTTTTACTCATCTTAGACTAATAGGAAGATACTTCAGAAATTGTCCTATTAGAAATTCCATTATGTTAGAGAAGGTGTGGACATCTTTTGTGTTTCTAAAACTCACTGACGTGGCCAATTAGGTATATGTTGGTTTCCATGATGGAGGCTGAGCCGCCTGAAGACTTTCGGTCTGTTAGTTGGTAACAACTTTCAAAGACTGATAGAAACTTTTCTGGGCAAAACAACTAAAAGTGGTAAAATTTGTTAAAAGTTAAATTTGTAAAGTATGCTTTTGACATTGAACTAAAGTATACTGCCCTATAAGTCAATGAAATGACTTACTCCTTTTATTTTAATTATACATAAAACTAGATGGCTCCACATGGATTTTGCAATGGTTCAATACTGTATGAACGTTAAGACAGGAATAACAGTTGTGCTGGAGTTTCTGCATCAATTATATCATTAATTTGTTTGTAACAAAGAAGAAAACCATATTACTTTGGAAATTACAAATTTGTCCTAGATTGGTTTGAAATTATAGATCATGCCTCTCATTTATTAAACCATGTTCTTTAAAACAACACTGAAAATTCTGTACTATATATGTGTAATACATGCATATCAATAGAAAAAATAAATGGAATTTCAAATATACTAACTAGATTATCCCCAATAGAATACTGTTGTGACTATTCAGAAAAGTGAATAAAATTGGGATATAAAATAGAGTCTCTTTCATGAGTTACATTTTGAGAATCTGTTTTCTAGGGTTTTATTTTAAAAGCACTTCAGTTACAATCCAGGAAAACCTTTGAATTCATGTGGAAACTGACATAATTTCTTCAATTTTTATAAAATGGAAATCCGTGGCAAGTCTTGCCATTTACACAGGTCCCAATATTTGATAGTTTAAGATTCACAAGAAGTTATGAAAATAGCACAGAGGACTCCGTGTGCCCTTTCTCTGTCATCCCCCAGTGATAACATCTTATGAAACCATTGTCAACCAAGGCCATGATATTGGCAGAATAATACTATTAACTCAAACACAGACCTTATTAAGATTTCTCCAGTTTTCACATGCACTTTGTGTGTGTTTATGTGCGTGAGAGATCTTATCCCCTTTGAGCAATGTGGTACCTATCCACTATACTATGCCAGGATGTGGATTGGAGTATGAGAGTATGTATGGATGAGTAACTAATTAATTTTTTAGGTTCTCTATTTTTGGAATAACATTCTATAGATTTTATTTTATTTTTATATATTCTTGTTGCCTTAACACATAAAAGCTTCCAGTTTTAACACCAGATATTATCATGTATATGATTTTAAGTTTGGTATTAGTTTTGATGGGTAAGAGGAGATCTGAGAATCTGTGTCTATAGTTGAGTTTAATCCTGTTCTTTAGTTGCATCGGCAAGTCCTGTGCTACTCTACTAATGCTATACAGGTGGATTGTGACTTTTGATAAACACTGCAGCTAATAGCACAATGGTTAAATGGGACTTTTAAAAAGTTTTTTTCAATTTATAGAAGATACATCAATTTTAAAGAGTAATTTATGCAAATATATCAACTAGTATTTTTTATTATCTCTCATTTGGACTCAAGTTGAGAGAATTAGAATGATGGCATATACTTTGCTTAGAGAAACTGAAAAGTTGGGAAGACATATACTGGGCATCTCTTGCTCCCCTTACCCACATAGAGAACTCATAGATCATTACTATTTTTACTAAGGTACGAGTTTGTCTATTTGCCTTTCTTTCTGTTCTTCTGTTCTTTCTTCCTTTTCTTCATCCTCTTTTGTTTTGTATATAGAATGCCTTCAAAAACAGTAGATACCAGATTTCTTCTTTACCGCATTGACTTACATTGTGAAAGACTACAAAAAGTAAACATAAAAGGGACTAAAACATTCCAGGGGAGAGATAATGTGGGCCTGCAACACATGTATGTGCCCTTGTCTGGGAATCGAACCCATGACCCCTCTGGTGCCCAGGCCAATGCTCTAACCACTGAGCAATGCTGGCCAGTGCTGGTTATGAGTATTTTTTAAAAAGCTCTCCAGGATATTTTAAGCATCTATGGTTAAGAACCACTAATTAAGGGGTTTTCCAAAGTAGAAATCAGGAGTTGGGTGAAAAGATTGGGTAAGTGAAAGGGAAATGTGGATGAGAACTCCATAAGGTCCTGAACCTACTAAAATAGAGTTATAGAGCTTCAGTTAAATATAAGATGAAAACATGAATGAAGAGCAAACTGAGTGGCAAGTGGAGACCATAAGTTTATTGTTTAAACATATTGAGTTTAAAGTGCCAATGATACTTTCAAAAAGGTCATGTGAGATAGGAAGTGAGCAATTTTTATTTGATTTTTAATGAGAGATTATTGTTGGTCATGGAAAGAGCAGTTTCATGAAGTGCTTATTGTAAAACTGAATTTAGTAGGTTGGAGAATGAATGAGAGATTTGAAAATGGAAATAATAAGGTAAATGTCTCATTCATTGAAGGGTGCATTTTTCTTAATATGGGAGAAATACACACACACACACACATACACACATACATATTGCAAGGGAAAGAGGGAGGAAGGGGTTAAGGAGCTAGGAGTGGGAAGAAAAAAGAAACCGATGAAGGCAGGGGTATCCTTATAATGTATGAGGAATAAGCAGGACCAAATCCCATAGCAAATCTAATGGGATGTGAACAATGCAGAGGTAATTGGTAAGTCTTTGGTGACCTTCAGCAGAGCAGTGTTGGTATATGCTAGACCCTGAGTCAAAGAGCAATCACTGGAGTTGATTAGTACACGGGTGAGTATCGACTTGTACCTGACTACTGAGACTTACAAGGTGAACGATTCTGAGGTCATAAATAGATGAACACGAGAAAAATTAAGCTTCAGTATCCTTATTTGTCAAATGAAAATATTTTACCTCACAGGATTATTTTGAATAATTGATGAATAATATATGTAAAAGTGTTTAACATAGTATCTAATGCATAGTAAATATTTATTAAATGGCAGTTCTTCAACTGTGAAAGATGTCACAGTTCTGTTTGCTCTGCAATCATGTAAAATCATGTTGATAGAAAAGAATATATATGATATGAAAGGTTTGGGGACCTGCTGATATATGTGTTAAATCGAAGAGGAAGACATAGAGGCATTACGTTTAAATAATTTTATTTTCTAAAATTAAGTGGCTACACTGTAGGTAAAGAGTAACCTTAGTGACAGGCTGAGTAAAAGTATTTTTTCTCCTGACAGGAGAGGACAGAAAGGGTTATAGGATGAGTGCAAGGAGGCAGTAGAGCAGTGATGGCGAACCTATGACACGCGTGTCAGAGGTGACATGTGAACTCATTTTTTTGGTTGATTTTTCTTTGTTAAATGGCATTTAAATATATAAAATAAATATCAAAAATACAAGTCTTTGTTTTACTATGGTTGCAAATATCAAAAAATTTCTATATGTGACATGGCACCAGAGTTAAGTTAGGGTTTTTCAAAATGCTGACACGCCGAGCTCAAAAGGTTCACCATCACTGCAGTAGAGAATGAGAAAATGATAAAGGAAGAGGTGAATGAACATCCTGGAGGAAGAAGAAATAGGTAGGGTTGAGAATATTAAGTGGAATGATTAGTGTGAGTGGAATAACATTTCTTCTGTGAGATTAATGAACAAAGATGAAGGAACCTGGAGAGAAATTTAAAAGTGAGGCCAAGGGCAATAATGCTAGGGGCCTGGGATGAGGAATAAGGAGAGATCCATTATTCATTAACAAACATTTCTCCTTCCATGTGCCAAGAACTGTGTTAGATGCAGTGAAAAAAATTAAGTGGTAAGCTTTACCTACTTTTCAAATGATATTCCCACCTGCTACTCATAG